CGAATGCTAATTTCTTCTTTTCTAATATTTTACTAAATAAAAACTTTTATTCAGCTTCTTCGTTTTCCCAAGAACTTTCTTCTGTAAATCCTAATTTGTCAAATTCTTCCTTTTCCATTAATCCTGTTTTCATTCTGCAACCTAAATAATCTATTTAATGTTATCTGCATCTTTTAGGCATTAATTAATGTTTTAAAATGCATTAACTATATTGATTTGCAAATTAATCACATTCATGGAAATGGTCTAAAGGAAAGCTTCCTTTATCTTTTTTTTATTTTATTAATAATATACTCTAGTATTAAAACCTGGTGCTTTGAATGATTATCTGGACATTTTTTTTATATATTTTTTTTTTTTTATAATTTTTCTAAATTAAAATTTAACAAAAAAAAGATTATTATTTTTTTTTTAAAAAAAACTAAAATACATACATATATATATATATATATGTATAATTAAATATAATCATACATTTAATAATAATTTTTCTCATTTTTAATTATGACTGCATCTACTTAATTACAAAAGTTTTTAACATGTAATTCTTTAAATTCCTTAGCTCCACTATCATATCTGTAATAAGCTTACACATAAGTACTAACAATAGTATTAGGGGCAGTATTCATTCCATTAAATTTTTTAATTTCCATTATATTATTATCCATTCCATATAATCCTTTAAAATCCTATTTATTTAGAAAAAATTAAATAGAAATTAAATAAAAAATATTTTACTTATCTTCCAATTATAATTCCTTTAAATAATATAATAAAATGTTCAAATTTAGATTCATTAATTTTATGAATAACAATATCCCTTTCTTTAGGATTAGGACCAGCTAAACATACTTTATTTATAGCTTATATAATTAATTATTTATTTGAGAATTTTTAGAAAAGTACTTTTAATGTTTTAATATCTTAAAGAATAGGTTATTATTATTTATTTATAAAATTTTGTTTTTATAATTATTAACTATTGATAGTTGTTATACTTTTTAAATCGGAAAAAGAGGATTTTTAAGAAATAGTTAAATTTTTATTATAATCAACTTAAATGTCCTTACTTATTAATGAATTTGAAGATTAAATCTGCTTTTCTTTTTATTTATTCTTTTTTATTGGCGAAACTAAACATTATTATATACTTTTTTATCGTTCTTCTTTCATTTCTTCCATTTTTTATTTCCTTCTTTTTTCTATTTTTTATATTACTTTATCCTTTTTGTTTTTGTTTTCACTTTAACTTTTCTCTTCTCCGAAATTTATATTTAAAGTAATTCCTCTTTAATAATCGTTTTTTTGATTTTCCTAAAAATTGTTTGTTTCTCTAAAGCTTGATAATTCTTAACTTTATAAACGAGAATAATAAGAACTTTTTACAGGAGTTTTTTCTATTGAACTATTTTTTATTAACTAATGTGTCTCTTCTATTATATTTTAACCAAATTAACATGTATTTTTGTCTATATATTCATATTTTTAATCTTCTTATATTTCATTTTATTATAAATGATCTATTTAATTAATATTATCCTAAAGATCTTATTATTATTAACTTTTTTTTCCGAAAGTTTCAAAAATATTTCGAAAATTCTAATCATTAAAAGTTTATTATACTTATGAAAAATATTACTATTCCTAAGTGTCTTATTTTTAATCTTAAAAATTTTATGATTTAATATGATTATTTTAAAATTCGAATTCTTATTCTATTTATTTAATATCTTTATAAATTAGTTAATCTGGTATATATTCTTCAATAATATTTTTAAATTTTGGAGATTCGAAAATCTTCTCTTCTGAATTATTTAAGTTTATTTAATGGTTTTTTTTAGATTTTTTTATATGTTCTTATAATTCTTTTTTTTCTTCATTTATTAAAGATTGAAATATCTTTTGTTTTATTTCCCATTTTTTATTGATTTTTTTTCTTCGTTTTCTCGTTTTTTTATTTAAATTAATTCAAATTATTTTCTCATTTCGTTTGTTAAATATTCCTTTTATAATTTTATTGTAATATTTTTTATATTATTTTTTTATTATATACTTAACATTCTTATATTTAATTATTTATTAAATTAAACTAATTTTCGTTTTCCTTTTTTTTATTTTTTATTGTATTACTCCATTAATAAGTTAAGTTTGATTAAAATTTTTAATATTTTATTCATTTTAGATTAATTAATTATTCTAATATATATTTTATTATTTTTGCTTTTTACTACTTTCAAATTAATTCGTTTTTATTCTTCTTCTATATTTTCATAATTTTGCTTTTTGCATTTATACGAACTCATAAATAATTTACTTATATTAAAAAAAAAAAAAAAAAAAAAAAATAACAAAACAATTAATAAAAATTATATAATTTTTGTGAAATTATATTTGTTAATTTTTTATTTTTAATTTAATATAATTATAAACTCAATAATTAATAAAATCAATGAATTTTCATCAATTATATTTTGTTTTATATAATTTTTCTTTCTTTCTTTATTTCTTTATTTCTTTATTCTTTCTTTAAATATATATATAAATTATATTTACATATATATATATATATATATAATAATAAATATATATATTATATATATAAATTTAATATTATAAATTAAATTAAATTCTTTAAAAAAATTATTATACTTAATTATATATTAATTTGACTGGAAATAATAAAATTTAATAAAAATTATATTTTTTTATTCCTATTTAATTGAAAACTTAAAGTATTTATTTTATTTACTTCAAATAAACAATTTAATAACGAAATATAAACAAAAAATTAATGGAATAATATTTATATAATTTTTTATATAAAAGCAAATAATCAAAATCATATAGGTAAGTTCATTTTTTATAAAGATTCCTTTTCTAAAAATTAAATATGGCCAGTTCTATCAATCATTTTATCTATACTTTAATTTTCAATCCTAAAAGATACCATCTACTCTATGTAAAATATGTGTTTTTAAACTTTAAAAAATTGTATTTAACATTTTATCATAAATTTCTCCAATAATAAATTTATATAGATAAATATTTTAATAATATATCAAAAAATAAAATATGAAAAACATATTAAATACTATTTTTTATTTAGGTAGGAATATATTATATTTTAACTAAGTAATAAAGATGATATTAATATTAATGAAAACTAAAACAAAATTGTATTTTTTAACTAATTAAGTCCTTTTTTAAAAGCTAAATTAGATATAAAGCATTATTTAATATTATTAGTTTCAGTTATTTATTTAAGGCTTTTTAAATTTTTTAAACTAAATATCTTTTGTTTTATTTTTTTGTATTATTTAAGAAATATTAAATAACTTACCTACATCCCTACATCAACAATTTTCCCTTAATTAAATAAAAATCCCATATGAGGAGTTTAAAAAACAAAATTAGTCTTTAAATTATTCCAAAATAATTAAAAGCAGCTCTTAAAACAAGCTTTCCTAGTGAATATATAACAAAATTAATCTTTTTATTGTTTTTTATTTAACTAAAAAAAAATTACTTTGATATTATTATATTTTAAAAATTAATTATTAATTTCTTATAATAATATACAACCCCCCCTGCATATATTATATATGTCCTTTAGTATTATTATAATTAGAAATAGAATGTAAAAATTCTATATAAAGATATTTAATAGTAAATATTATTTCTGAAAAAGTTTTATATCATAGGAGATGTCTTATAATCTGTGCTATAATATAACCAAATGAATACCTTCATTTTTTAATAAATACTTATTTAAAAGTATATTCATTTATTTTTATAAAATAAAGAAAAAATTTTTTATTTTATTTTTATTTTTTTTCTTAATTAATTATATGCATTTTAATTATCGTCTTCATGTTAGCATTTTAATTACGGTTTCACATAAAAATTATACATTAAATAGTATTCTAAAGTGACAAATATTTTTTAAAATCTAATATTTTATATACATATATATATATTTGATATGTAATATTTTTAAATAGATAATATAATCAAATATACTGATTTAAGTATTATATTTAATTTATAATAAATATTTATACTTCTAAAATTTTATAAATGAATAAATAAATATTTTCTGATTATAATAAAGACATTTTTTTCTCAAAAAATATATTTTTTTTTAAATAAATAAAATTATTAATATATAAAGGGATTATTAATTATGTTTTTATAATTCAAGAATATATTAATATAAGCAAATAATAAATTATATATTGTTTAATATTTTTATATTATATTTAAGTTGTTTTTGTTATATAATAAAACATAAATTGAAATCATTTCTTTTCTTTTTTTTTCTTAGATTCAAGTCTCTTTTATTTATTTTTATTTTATTATTTAATATATTTATATTAAATTTTGTAATCTTTTAATCATCATTTTAAGACATTATTGGAATTATTAATTCCAAAGCCTTAATATGACACAATAAAGATTTATTTTTCTTTTACATTGTAGTAAAAAGAAAATAATTATATAAAATTTAATTCTTTTTAACACAATGTTTTTTATTTTTTTATTTATATTTATTAATGTAAACCCACAAGGTAAGAGTATGTCCATTTAGAGAACATAACCTTTGTAGGAAAGTTAATTTAATTTTGCACCCCTTAACAAACAAATTGATAATATTAATTTGAAATCATTTTGTTTTTTTAAAATGCTTAATATAATCATTTTTTTTTATTAATCAACTTATTTATTTAATATTTTATATATATATATAAATATATATTGATTATTTTATATAATAAAAAAATATATTTTATATTCAATTAATTTTGGCTATATCTTATTTATTATTTTTTTATTTATAAATATACAAATATTAAAATATAAATATATAATAAATTTTTTATTTTATATAAAATAAAATATATTTATATTTAACGAAAATTTAAAAATATAATAAATTATTTAATACTAAATATCATAAAATATAAATATTATTAAAAACTAAAACAAAAATTTAAATTTAAATAGTTTATATATATAAATAAATTTCTTTTATTATTTTTTATTAAAAAAAGTATTAAAATATTTATTCATATATATTTTTATTTAATAATTTAAATTGAAAAATAAAATTCCATACTAAACAAAATATTATTTTATTTTAATTGAATTATATTATAATTATTATCTTTATTCAATAATCTAGTTTTAATTAATAAACTCAGTTCTTTAAATTTACCAAATCAAAAAATACACAGAAATAATTTATTTATTATCAGTATAATTAATTAATATTATTTTTCCTGCAAAAAATAACTTGTATCGAATTAGTATTAGAAACAGATTAAATTGAATCATAT